CCACAAGTTAGGGGCCTTGGGGTCGACCTCTGTCCCCCTGCCAATACAGACTGCGTACGATCGGTGAGGAAGGAGGAGAACCACCGCATAACCGTGCCTCCCACTCCCAACCCACCTAAACGCCGCAGCATGATACTGTGGTCCACAGTATCAAAAGCCGCTGAGAGGTCCAAAAGAACTAGGACAGAGGAATAACCTCCAGAGATCATTAACCAACGTGACCAATGCCGTTTCCGTGCTGTACCCCGGCCTGAAGCCCGACTGGAGGGGGTCCAGATAATCTAATTCTTTTATGCAAAGCTTGTCCTGTTTGTCCTATGTAGGATGCAGAAGGGTATTGCTTGCAGATGGTGGTATACCTATCACTTTGGAGGATGACTATGTGAAGGCAGCTCTAATCTTATGTGTATACTTGCGGCATGTGATGTGAAGGCAAAATAGACATCTGGGTTTATTGCAGGCTCTGGTTCTTATGAGGTATCATTGTTTTGTTGTCCCTTATTACTTATGAGTATATTTGGGATGGTTATATGCAAGTATGGGCTTGTCACAGAATGCTTGAAAAAGTGTGGTGTCATTTGTTTAGTATGGGCTGTAGCTTAATAATGTGTTTGAGTGGTTTGGTTGAGAGGTGTAGGCAACAACCAATTGTATAGGTTCTCCCTGGGAATTGATCTGCTTGTATTGATTTGTCTACTGTTTTGGTTGGGTGGATAATTCAGTCTTCTAAATGCCGTGGTTCAGAATAAATATGGTCGTAACATAGAAACAGACTAAAAATGATTTGGTGATGGTTCTAGGTGGGAGCTAGTGGCATATAGGTATGTATGACTTTCTCTAGGTTCCCTGTGTAAAACATAATGTTTATGGATTCGTTGTGTGGTTTTATAGTGACATCACTGAAGTGGACTTTTCTATAGTTAAGTCTAGGCTGAGGCTGATGGGAGTGGAAGTTGTTGAAGTCATGATAAAATTTAATTATTCATTTTCATGGGTCAAGTTGATGAAAATATCATTGAATCTCTAAGTAAAAAAGCTTTAACTTAGGGGAATGGATCTTCTCTGTTGGGAGTGTGGGTTTTGCAGCTAAGTGAGCATCGTTTTGAACAAGAGAAATAATTGAAATTTTAAAGATTTATGTTAAAATTCAGATGTTACCTTTATTGCATATTTACAATGAAACTTGTTTTTTTTCTCATTGTCTTTCTGTGAAAGTAAAAATTACACTTTAAAAGGAATCATTTTATATCTTGTATTTGGGATAAGTTATCTTTAATTTCTTCAGTTTGCTGTCCTGTATCTTAAAACTACCAACTCTCATGATTGCTTCCATTTTGTAAATGGGCATTCTTCCATAGTGATCAATTTATGACAGTATTGATAGCAGTCTTAAAATGCTGAGATTTGCTGATCAATTCAAAAGGACAGAAAATACCTAGTATTTATCTTCACTTTGATAATTATATTAAATTATGTTGCCAGTTAAATTACTTGAAATCTTTTCTTCTTTCCTTGTTTCTCTCTTCCATGCATCCTTTGCATTTGGAGTGAATAGCATTGCTCATCTATTAGGAGCATGAAAATGCTCATTTCGGAATCTTGTAACCATTGTCCTTTTTACAGTTTAATGTGTTTAAAACTGTTTTTACCTAATGCACATTTGCTGACCACACACTTCTCAGCTTTTATCTAAATCTATAGTGACAACTTTCTTCTTTTCTAGACCACGTATTACTTGCTGTTCATATGTACACTGTGAGCTTATGCACCAGAGACAAATTCCTTGTGTGTCCAATCACACTTGGCCAATAAAGAATTCTATTCTAGCCTGGCCTGGCCTGGCCTGGTCTGTCCTATCCTAAAGTAACTTAGATTCTGTTCAGCTTTCACGTTTTAAAATTTAAAGCAAAATTCCCTGCTCTTTTGTCAAGGCACTGTTCTTCTGATATTCTCTGAGAAATAATGACTTTAAAAGTGGGTTGTACTCATTATTTTTTGAACTCCCCAAAATGATTAATAAACTTTCAAAATCAATATCTGCCAAATTTTAATTAAGAATGTATGAGGTAAAAAAAACAACAAACTTCTCATTTCTTTTTGGTGCTGTTTTTCCTGGAGCTACATTTTGCAGCCATGTTTTATAAAACCTGGAAAACTTAAGTTCATAATGGAAAGCCTGAAGAGGCCTTCAGTCAGCATATACTTCTGTTACTCATCAGGATTTTTCCATGGATCATGATGAAAGGAATAGAACATTTCTGATTTTTTTTTGTTATGTTACATTATGTTATGTTATGTACTGTATATATATATATGTGTGTGTATTCACATATTCATTCATCCACTCATTCAACAGGTGTGGCATATTATTTCAGTGTTTTTATTTCAAAATAAAAGTTTAGTAATCACAGCTGGCAAGTGAGCTACATGGGAATTGGGAAGGAAATGTTTTTTCATTGGCTCTATGCCAATGCATGTGTCTGAGGCTTGTATAGAGGCAGAATTTTTTTCATAATTCCCCTTCCCCTTTGCACCATCAGGTATTGCCACATCCTCTTTGTAGGGGATCAACAAAGCTTAGCAGTTGTCCTGTTCTACCAGTGGAATTTTTCTGTTTGTGGAAAAATGACTGCATTAAGATCATAATCCAGACTTTCACCACATACGTTTGTGTGTGTTTATATTACATATTGTGTGTGAGAGAGAGTTACAGAAGATGAGAGTTTGAAGCTCCTGAGACACTAAAGGCAAAAATTGTAAAAGGTTCTGAGAGAAATTTCAACTATCAATCAGATTCTTCTTGTTTTCTGAAAGTACTATTCTAATTTCTGATGTTGCCTGGTGTGAAGATAATAGTAGAGGATGTGTTTTCTGCCAGGAGGAGAAATTTCCCTTGTCGAGGGTCCCACTTTATCCAAGCCACTTTTGACTGTTGGACTCAAAGATGAGACATTTCTACAATGGGCTTCAGACAAGTCTATTTGAGATCATCATCTATGCCAGCTGGGAACCAGTATAGCTACCATTCCCCCATTCCCCATTTTGCTGGGGAATATTTGAAAATATTGATAAGAGGAGAACTAGGATCACAGACAGGGAACCAGCCAAAGTTAGAGGCTAACTTTAAATTCCACTATGCTGCATTTTAGAGTCCTTTCCAAGTTATATTTGTTTCTAAAGGATGGATTGCTATAATTGTTGCCTTGATTTTCTTTCCTATCACGCCTACTGATCAGCTGATAACTCAAATATTTTTATCCTAAATTCTGAGATTTAGAATCCATCAGATTAATTGACAAGTGATTCACTGTTGTGAGAAAAAGTATGCCTCATTGAAGATTTTTTCTTTACTCTGTGGACATAGTCACAATTTTATTTTCATTCAAACTCATATAAAGCTAAAGGTAATGTTAATTGAACAAAAAAAATTGGAAATTTGACTTTGCAATCATTTATTAAACAATAATTAACAGATATACCATTTTCTTCTGTGGGAAAAGTAAATATAGGGTCAGTTCTAATACCTGCTATTGCTGTCTTTGGCAGAAACTACCTCAAATAAGCGTTCTTATAACTGGTCTCTGAATTTGGGATATTTTTTTTTCCTTTCATCCATACATAATTTTTTTTCAGCTGTGCAAAGTTTGAGAAATTATTTGCGTGATAAGCATCTCACTGGTATTTAGTTTTGAGTTGTATAGTATTCATGGAGGCTACCATTTACAGCCTGTTTCCTGTAATGGTTGGATACAGTTTACCACTTCTACTTCCTTTTAGATCTTCTTATGTTGCGATGTGACTGAGATAGCATCCTTATGTTTCATAACTCTTCTCTCAATCCTTCACAGGGTGCTAAGAAGTTGTGCCCTCAGTGCAATACCATCACCTCACCAGGGGACCTCAGGCGCATTTACTTATGAAAAAAATATGGCTGCTGAGATCAAGTTATTTGAACCATGGGGACTAGGGAAAAGGAGTGGCAGCAACACAGAAACTTGAAACTAAAGACTCCAAAAGTGGACTAGAGGCTGAGGGAGCTGCACGATGCCTCTGCTTCCGAACCTGTCACTGGTGCTGCCCACTCCACAAGAAGGCCAAACCAGAATCCTTATTGTGATTCGTTTTTCCTTTTTTACAAACTGCTGTTCCACGTCTGTCCCGTTTCTCCAAGAGTTGGGGTTCCATCGTGGACAACTTGCAAGACCTTTCAGGGAAGCATGAGAAGGTGCTGGATCTTCCATGGCAGGAAATGTCCGAGCCTGTAATCTGCAGTCTCCTTCCCGCCCTCTTTTTATTTGTGGTGTTGTAGTGGATTTTTTTAATGAAAGAAAAAACTTATACCTTCACATCCACAAAGGCAGAATGAAGCACATGTAATATAGACTATATGTTTACAATGTTGTGTATAAATGGGATAGACTCCAACGTTACATACTAATGTTTCCCTTTTTATTTTTTCCTGGGGGGGGGTGACTTTTTTTAAAAAAAGAGAAAAAATAAGCAGAGAACATTAAACCCATATTTTTCTTGGTTCTGCAGAGTTTTTGCATTAAAGTCATTAGTTTAAAAAAGTATATAAATATATATTATACATATATATAATATAAATGGTTTAATGTTCTGTGGTGTATATTTCCTCATTCAGATATGAAATTAACAATTCGTAGTTTCGGCCATAACTTACATGACTTCTGGGGAAAATAGAAAAAAAAAACAGGTTTTCTTTCATTTGTTACAGTTAAATGGGCTATTTATATAAAATACTTTACTGAAACCCTTTTCCATTTTTTTCACTTGGGAAAACATAAGATGTGCAAGCTTACTCCATTGCCTGTGGGAAAAGTCATAGCAGGGGTCAGTAGACTTTTTAGGCACTAAACATTCTTATGGAACCTCTTATGATGGCATAGGCATCAAAATATTTTTTTTTTTAAAAAAATACATGTCTGAAATCTTATAAAGTTTTGGGAATCATATGTTGTTTCAGCCATGTTTTAATTTTTGGGTTCCAGGTGCGCCATCTCAGAATGTTGCAACTGCCTTAGTAACAATGGACATTAGTGGTGAACTCTGATAGGCACTTACACGAAGCAGAAAACTGGTCTTTGTCTATTACAGATGGAATTGTTAGCGTAGCTGTGTTCAGACCAATTAGTCTTGTGAAAGCTAAAGCTATCTTTTGTCCAAATGTAATTGTATTCATCAACCTGCAAGCTTACAAGAATTAAATTTGAACAGGGCCCCAAAATAAATGCAGAAAAACACCCAATGTTCTATCATACCTCTGGCAGAATCTTTAGCATTCTGCTTTGACATGTTCCCAGGTCCAGCTACTGGCAGTCTTTTCTACTCTGGAATATTTTTCTTAACAGCTGTTTCATCTAATTTTCAGATGTTCATGTTTCATTTTGAAAAGGAAATAGGTATGTGCCAGTTTTGATTCCTCCTTTTGTCATTTCTGCTTGGACTGTGGTAATGGTGGAAGGTAATCTGGGTTTGTTCAAAATTAGATCAATTTAGACTCCATTTTCTCAGCATTCCTTACAGAAACATTGCTTAGCCCTTCATTCTGCATTTTGAAAATAACCCTGTGAGCCACTACCTGCCTTAATTTAAACAACAACAACAGCAAAACCTTGCAGTTTTTACATGCACAGCCAAACATGCCATTTTGTAGTCCATTCAGGAAACACTTTACAAAGTTGCTGTAAATTCTGACAGGAAGTTATCCTGCTTGACGCTGACAAGCAAATAAGCCTATAAATCACTATTTAAACTGGGATTACAGCGTGAAAATTAATGGAGTTATGGCCCTGGGTCTACTAAATAACTTTTTCTCTTTTTTCGTTAATTCCATCTTATACTATATTTGTGGATTTAAGCCTCAGAAGGACATGATTGCACTAAAACATCTGGCTAGATTATCATGCTATTGGGAAAACCTTTGGCATGATACTGATTAGACCACAAGATTTTCTCCCAGTCCAGGATTCTTTATTCCTATTGAGTCAAACTGTGTATGCACTGAATGCAAGTTGAAGACATCTGTTGTTAATCAGCCTCTTATGACACAATTTCATCCCCATATACATAAAAATTGTCTTACGGAGAATTATTTTTTATTCTTAGTTAATTCTGAGCTCCAGAATACCCAAAACTATCTGAACCAGTGTATCTCAGTCAAAAATGTTGCTGCAATTAAGCAACATACTGAAAGCTGATTTGCAACTTGTATTAGTTGTTGCAGGTTGGTAGGAAGGAGGGGGGACAATTGGTTCAAGCAAATATTGATCTGGCATTCTAAAGGTGCAACAGTTTACAAGAGCCATAAAGCATCTAAAATGCTATTTGCTTGGGCCCAAGATTCCACAACTGTATAGCACTTATTCCTTCCTAAATCTGTTGTAATGGGGATGATACCATGTGTCACTCAAAAACCTACTTGCCCAATACAATCAAACAGTCTTTGCTGGGACATTAAGTGCATGATTATTCTTCTCCCTGATCTGTTAGACAATAAACTGAAAAGGTTCATCCTTGATGTCCCAGCAAGTTGGCACTGGGAATAAAGAACTTTTTCTGGTCCTGTGGACTAATTCTAAGCCAAATGAATATATGTAAAACCACATATAATTATTAGCATTTATTTTTAAACCTGAATCTGACCTACATTTTTATTTCTTGAGGAGTAAGGAGAGCAGAGAAACCTATTAAGGCAAATGCAAAAAACTAACTTGTTAATTTCCTTCTCTGGAGAAGGTGCATTTTGGAATTCCATAGCTGCTCCCTCCTTTCCCTCAACGAGCTTGAAAATAAATGATCTGTCTTTGCCCAAAGATTCCCAGCTGCACAAGGTGGTATTAAAGTTGTGTCAATGATTGTGTGTCGATGTATATTCTATTAAAAGGTACTTGTCATTCCCGTTTGTAAACTACATTGACATTAATTAAATGAATATAAAAGGTTCCAAGTTGTGCTTCCAGTCTTCTACTTGCTTGTTAGTTTTATCTCTTAGTTTGCCAGTTTCAAAATCTGGTACTTCCCTTGGAATTCGTTTGTGCATCAGTGTTGATTCTTGGCAACCACCTGGATAAATCCCTTCAGTTTTCTTGGGAAGATTTTTCAGAAGTGGTTTGCCATTGCTTGCTTCCTGAGGCTGAGAAAACGGGATTGGCGCAAGGACACCCAGCTGGTTTTTGTGCCTAAGGTGAGACTAGAATCAAGTCTCCTGGATCTTAACTTGCTTTAACCACTACAAACTGGTTCTCCCTCTCTTGCATATACAGTAGTTGCTGTTAAATCATAATCAGTAATTGTACATCCTTGTGAGTCCTTTGTAGCACAATGGATATCAAATGACTAAGTTCCCTTTTCTGCTTTCAATTAATTGCATTTTTATATTCTATTTTTAACTATTATAGCTTTTTATGCAATTTACAAGAAACCGATAAACTGTTAGAAACTCCACTTCATTTTTTTCAAAAATTAATTACAATCCTTCTAGTCATTGTTGTAGGCGGCTGCAAAATTACAAAACACAAGCCTTATTCCTCTGACATATTCCAGAAACAATGTGAAAATTATTCAACTGGCATAGCAGTTGGATAATACTGCTTTTAATTAAAAAATAGGCAATTATAAAGGAAATATTACGTCCTGGTCATCTTCATCCCTGCTAGCACAAGTCCTGCAAAACATAAGACTTTGTTCAATACTTCTGCTCCAGTACTTTCCCTCCTCCAACACTGAATTGGTCTTTTAAATCATGCTGTATTAACTTTTTTTTGCATAAATTGCTAGTTTTACACCAGAATATTGCTAAATGAACATAATTTGATTGCAACATGGTTCTTCATACTTTTAATGCAAGCTGGTAAAATTGAAGGCTAGATCAGGGGTAGGCAACCTTGGCTCTTTTCTGACTCGTGGACTTCAACTCTCAGAATTCCTGAGCCAGCATGGCTGGCTCAGGAATTCTGGGAGTTGAAGTCCACGAGTCATAAAAGAGCCAAGGTTGTCTACCCCTGAGCTAGATCATGCTAGAATGTATTGACTATACCTGCAATCAGATGAGATCCTGAATCACATAGTAGTCTTACCATATTTTAACTAGCAAAAGCCCAACCACTGTGATTAGTTACTTAATTCCATGTGTTGTGCAATCCAGGAAATTGGATTCGGTAAATTATAAGTAAGCATATTATGTCAATATAGCTTATATAAAAAATAATTTCATCAGTAGCTTCTTGCTAGAAGTGATGCTGACAAGCAAAGTCAACAGGGAAGTCATCAGGAAGTTGTGATCAAGAGAGATCCTTGGCAATCTCGGGAGTCCTCATTTTGGCAACCAGGACTGCCATTGCTGAGCAATGCAGTCATGTGACATTGCACTCTTATTACTGCATTGCTTAATGACAGTTCCCTGTATGATTCTATATTTCTATATCCCCCTCCCTCCAATGCAAGCAGTACTTCTTTAGATTCAACCTTGTTCTATTCCAGATAACAAAAGGTGACAAAGGTGCCAATGAACTAGGAGAAAAATCTGAAAAAACAATTATGATAGCCAATTTCAAACGTTTGGAAGACTTTCCTAAATATTTGGTTTTTTTTCATTCAAAGAATAGAATGCAAACCAATATCGTATCTTGGAATTACAAGACGAGCAATTTTGCAAAGCATTGGGAACATCTGACAATGTCCATGTCTATGTAACACAACTGAATGCCCAGTCCATTTCCCTAGAAGACTTAACTCATCCCTCAAATTGCATTGCACAATTGCTGATGACACATGTTACTATGGAACAACCATTTTCTATGATCTTACAGGTACAGTAAAGGAAGCTGAATATAATATTATCCCATTTTTCCTTTTGAAATAAAAAAAAATACCTGCAGTGATATGAAAAGAGCACCGTGAGCTGAAGTGGAGGCTTAGCCATTTCTTTTCAAGGACTGATCCATGTCACAAGATGACAAAAGTGCCTAGAGAAACTTTGTTTTTGTTGGAGTGCTCAATGATATCTTCCATTTCTTGAAAGCACTTAAGCACCCTGGTAATCTTACATTTATTCAGACAACAACATTGACTATAGGGTTAATTTAGTCTGAAATTATCCTGAAGTTAGTTTGAGCTAAACTAACTCTCTTTGGATTAGTTGACTGGGTTTTCATTGACAAAAGCCCCTGTGAAAATGTTAAGACTCCTTAATAGATCAAATGGTTTGCTGACCAAATTGTTGGTTTGTGCTGTATTTTCTGCTTGTGCTAAACGGATCTACTTGTGCTAAAAGTTGGACTATATTACCTTAAGATCCCCACAAATTCTGTGTTCTAATTTTAATACAAATTAGTAGAGAAAGTACTATAAAAGCAATGGCAATATGTGACAAAAAAGATGCAGTATTTGTATTCATATCATTCCCTTTTGGGTTTTCCCTTTTTCTTTT